AAAGTTGCTGTAGGCTTGTAGAATCTTCATAAGGATGGAGTTGGAAGAATCACAAATACCTGCTCCTGCCATTTGATTTGCTTGTTGCCACTGTTGAAAACTGGGGCGTGATGTATATTACCAAGATTCTGTTCCCAGTTTTCAGTCTGCATGTGTCTGGCTTTTGGAGAGTGTTGTGGTTTTTCTTGCCCCCTGTACTAGCAGTTTGTCTTTCCTTTCCAGATTATTCAAAAGTTCACCTAACACAGCTATTGGAAAAAGCTGAAGTGATTGCAGGCCGTATGCTTAAACTGTCTGTTTTTTATCGGAATCAGCACAAAGAATACTTTGATTATATCAGGTAAGAAACTAAACATATACAAAGTCCTTTGGCAAATTAAAGGAGTAATGAAAATAAGTAAATAGACTCAGCTGTGCTAAAGCTAGAGCAGAATGTCTGTGTGCTTTATCACCCATTCTGAGGAAGGCAAAGAATCAAATACAACTCATTTCTCTCACCTTGCTTAACTTGACACTTCCATTAGGCGATAAAAGCCTGTGTTTTGAAGCAGAAACTGAGGTACTCATACGGCCTCCAGTCTGGTTAAAGCATTTGTAATCATAATGGAGAGTTTAGTAGCCAAATATTTCCACTGTACTGAGAAATTAAGAGTGAGATGACTGAGAGTAGGAGGGTACAACAGTGTGTATAGGCATTTGCCTTCATGTAAGAGTTCCATCTCAAACATTTGCTCTCCAACCATCCCATTTCCATGCCCAAATGCGGTTATACAGACTCTGCAATCTGAATGTTAATTTACAGACCATGTGAGGAGAGAGAGGGCACAATGTTTAGACAGTGTTACGACACCGTGCTTCAGTTGTAATGAAAAATAGGATAGCTGGAGGTAGGTTCCCTGCTCTGTTGGAGACCCAGTGTGCCCTCCATGCATGGTTGGAAGTGTCAGTACAAGAAAAAAAGCAGCTTTTTGATGGAAGGAGTATGCTGAGTGAGCAGGAGCAGCCCCACACGGTAACCTTCTCCTGTTAAAAGAACATGGATGAGAGGTAAGCAGTGTGTTGGAAGGCTGCAGCACTGACTGCGCATCTTTAATATTCATGGGGAGATGGGGCTCCTGATGGGCCACATAATTTCAGTTTTATGTGTGTCACACCAGTACCTGCCTAGAATGGAAAGTTTTTTAAGCAACTCAAGGTAATCCAGCTTCAAAGAACAGACTACACCACACTTGGAAACATTCCCACTTTGTAGTCACTGGTATCTGATTTATTCCAAGAGTGTACTGGATATTGCAGAGCATGGGCTTACTCTTCTCCGTCTGTGTCTTGGAAGGATTATGTTATTGTACATAGGGACAAAGCTGCAAAACTCGGTGGAGGTAGAGAATAAATTGCAGTTACTGAGGCTCTTCGAGGCCCTCATAAGCTACTGCTGTCATCTTGGGCTGGATACCACAGAAGGGAAATGCCTGTGCTGTTCTGATCTTCATGTTACTTTGTTTTCAGCTATGTAATCATAGTGCATCTGCCTTTGTGTTCATTAGTGTTAAAAATTACCACTGAGGTGCATTTATAGCTGTGGGTTTGTATAGCTTGTTCTGCCAAATGTGACTCTAATTGATTGCACTCTATCTGTTCCCCTTCCTCCTGTTAAGTTCTTTCTTGGTGCAACACCGCTAGAGATGAGTTTGTTTACCCTCTGTTAGTGAGCTGGAGACAAAAAGCTGTGTTTTACCAGGTCAGTGGAAAGCTACAGTACCAGAACTGGCTGATGGTCACCTCTTTTGAACAGAAATAGACTAAACAGTCACAAGTGCTAATCTCTCCTCAGTATAGCCATCTGCATGTTATGTTAAAAACCCTAACCACATGCTTCCTGTTAGGGAAAATTCCTTGTCATCCCATGCCTGCCAATGGCCTCTGGTGTCATCACAGCCTGGAAAAGCTCTGGTAGCACTGGCACACAGGCAGCTGTTCCTGGTGCTAAAGCAGCATCCCCTAAATGGAGGTTTGAGGTGAGAGCTCAGAAGGGGTGCTTGAGTCACTGCAGCTTACTGGGCTGGGAGCACCACAAAGCAGCTCAGGTCGCCCAAAAGGGCGACCTATAATTAGCCTAATTGGCCACTGGATGTCAGTATCTTGCCACAGAAATGGAACCTACTTTCTCAGAATGAAGCCTGACTTTTCAGGTTGCAGAGGTTTCAGGTGGTCATTTAAGCTCATTTAACCTTTTTTATTTTTTTCCCCTCTTTTTCTTTTCTCCCTAGTAATCTCTTCAGTCATAAAATACTAATTATACCCCCCCACTCCAATCAATGTCTCATGAAGTAAGGCTTGAGACAGTAAGTAGGTAGTATTTGAATGGCTCAGAAAACTTCTGAAGTCTATCTTAGAGTAAAATAAAGATGTGCTGCTGAGGAAATTACAGGTAATGAAAAAGTAATCACAGCTGGAGATATTACTGAGTTAATTTAGAGCTTTTTGTAATGTATACACTGAATTTGTTTGCTTTGACTGCTACCTCCCATGTTAACCAAGCAAAACCTTCTCCCACACAGCACTATTTTATATAGACCTGTTGCAAATTAAAAGCAGAGCAAGAACAGTCTTTCTTGGTTAGCTTCCTCTCTCCTAAAAGAAGGAAAGAAGGACAAAAGGAAAAAAAAAAAGTAAAAGCAAAGCAAGAGGGGAATATAAGAATCTCCAGCCCCAGAGTCTCATGTATTTTTAGTCTGTCATGTCAGTGAATATAAAGACATTTATACTAAGGGTGCCTAGCAAATATGGTGTTTTGCAGGACTTACAAAAAAGGATGGCTCCCTTTCAGGTATCACATGGTTGCATGTGCAGAGAAAGCCAAAGCTGCCACTGGGGCATTTCTAGAGCTGTGTGGGGCAAAAATCCTGGGAACTGCCCTGCTATACATAAAATCCCAGGGGCTAAGAAGGGTTAGATGGGGTGTTTTGGAGTATTTTGGAGTGTTCTACTGAGTTTAACAGCCTAATGCTGCTGAACATAATATGGGATTTGGCGTTTTAAAAATTTACTTGTACATTTATTTTCACTGGAATGAAACTGAGCTAAGCTTGGGAAAAAAAAAAAAAAAAAAA